ACAGAAATTTCAACCCCCGCAATTAAATATTGATATGTAGGCAGAGCTGGGCAGAATACTTTCAAAAAGTATTTGAATACTAAATAGTAAATACTTTACACAAATCAAAGGTATTTGAATACCTACTAAATACCTTTACGTCCAGCACAAGCGAATACTAGATACAGATACATTGAAAAGTATTCAAATACTTTAAAACATAACTATTCAAATACTTTCAAAGGTATTCGAATACAATAAAAAGTATTCGAATACTTTGAAAAGTATTTCATTAACTTACTTTGAAAAGTATTCGAAACAGTAAAAGTAAGTATTCAAATAGTTGTCACTCAAATTCATTAAAAATTTAAAATAGTATACTAGATAAAAGTCTTAATACTACCTAAAAAATCAAGTTATACTTTGTATGGGGTTAGCTTTTTTTATATTTCTATTGTTTTATACAAATTTAAGGGGAGTAAAAGCGTATTATTATTATTATACAGGAGGTACCTACCAGGACCTTTCTTATACCAGTTATATCCTTAAGAATACGTGTACCAGTTTTTAAAGCGTCGTGCACATGATACGTACGCCTTTCTGAAATTAATCCTAGCGATTTTGGAACAGATCCATTTTTGACCATCCGTTTGTCCGTGTGCATGATAGTTGGTTTAGAAACGTGCACTTTGAAAATTGGTACACATGGTCTTAAGGATATAAGGAAGGTCCCTATTGTTTTTAAGTTACGTAGATAATTTCAAACAGTTCCAAGATTGGGCTACTAGTTCAAATGTTACAGCCCTTTGAATTTTCTTTCGAAATTGGTTTCTAGTCTATAACTATTGATTGAGAAGTCTGATCGAAAAAGTACGAATTGTTTTGGATTCTACGCACCAAAATTAATAAGAAAAAGTGTTTTCCCGAGAATTTTTGGTGCAGTCGATTTTTGGTAAAAAAGGAAGGTTATACACTGCCTTTTTTTGAGCCCCGAAAAAAAAATTGTCTCAGATCGACCCGGAAAAAATTTTTCTTATAGAATGTGGCCTGTAGAATCCATAATTTCAAACAGTTCCAAGATTGGGCTACTATTTCAAAAGTTACAGGCCTTTGAATTTTCTTTCGAAATTGGTTTCTAGTCTATAACTTTTGATTGAGAAGTCTGATCGAAAAAGTACGAATTGTTTTGGAATCTACGCACCAAAATTAATAAGAAAAAGTGTTTTCCCGAGAAATTTTGGTGCAGTCGATTTTTGGTAAAAAAGGAAGGTTATACACTGCCTTTTTTTGAGGCGCGAAAAAAAATTGTCTCAGATCGACCCGGAAAAAAATTTTCTTATAGAATGTGGCCTGTAGAATCCATAATTTCAAACAGTTCCAAGATTGGGCTACTAGTTCAAAAGTTACAGCCCTTTGAATTTTCTTTCGAAATTGGTTTCTAGTCTATAACTTTTGATTGAGAAGTCTGATCGAAAAAGTACGAATTGTTTTGGATTCTACGCACCAAAATTAATAAGAAAAAGTGTTTTCCCGAGAAATTTTGGTGCAGTCGATTTTTGGTAAAAAAGGAAGGTTAACACTGCCTTTTTTTGAGGCCCTAAAAAAAATTGTCTCAGATCGACCCGGAAAAAAAAATTTCTTATAGAATGTGGCCTGTAGAATCCATAATTTCAAACAGTTCCAAGATTGGGCTACTAGTTCAAAAGTTACAGCCCTTTGAATTTTTTTTCGAAATTGGTTTCTAGTCTATAACTTTTGATTGAGAAGTCTGATCGAAAAAGTACGAATTGTTTTGGATTCTACGCACCAAAATTAATAAGAAAAAGTGTTTGTCCCGAAAAATTTTGGTGAAGTCGATTTTTGGTAAAAAAGGAAGGTTATACACTGCCTTTTTTGAGGCCCGGAAAAAAAATTGTCTCAGATCGACCCGGAAAAAAACATTTTCTTATAGAATGTGGCCTGTAGAATCCATAATTTCAAACAGTTCCAAGATTGGGCTACTAGTTCAAAAGTTACAGCCTTTTGAATTTTCTTTCGAAATTGGGTTCTAGTCCAAAACTTTTGATTGAGAAGTCTGATCGAAAAAGTACGAATTGTTTTGGATTCTACGCACCAAAATTAATA